ACAACACGAGCGGCTGCTAGGGGTGCTGCTAAGAGCAGACACCACTAGCACCATCGGGGAGGCTACATCTATTGGTGGGGAGCAGCAGCTGCTGGAAACTGGGGCCATCCTGCCCCCTTGTTTCCCCCCCATCCCATATTTACAGAATCTGCGGAAGCTTGCTAGATTTTTTTTTTTAATCAACCCTAGTATAATTTCATTTCATAATCAAACTTGGAGGCTGGGGATCTCCACATTACTCCCGGGCCGAGGTCCCACTAGAGAAGAGGATTGGATTGAACGCCTGAATCTGGACGCGTTTGTGCAAAGGTGCAGAATATGGAGCTTGAACTGCCTTTACGAATCTCTGCTTGAAACACGTCCAGATTCAGGGGCTTAATCCAATCCTCTTTGCTAGTGGGACCTCGGCCCCGTCAAAGTATACTGGGAGCATCATCCAGCTTAGCTTACCGGTAAAAACCTGCAGGCTTTAGCTAATAGACTTTGCAGGTCTGGGGCTGCATCCTAGTCTACCCTACTGCCTACCCACTTACTACTGTCTTCCCCCGAACACAACGCACCCTCGTTTTGTCTGTATCTTGCCGTAAATATAGCTTGTATTCATTCATTTTTAGGGTGCGTTATGTTCGGGGGAAGACAGTAGTCTAGCGTTCCACAAAAATACTATCCTGCAACCACCGCCTATCAATTGCTTGCTTGAATTTCAGTTGTATCCGCTTGCTTGAGTTGCAGTTTTTGGGTTTAAAAATGTAAGTTTGTCTTTTATTAGATCCCATTATACAGTTAAGTTGTGTTGCGGGTGCACGTGAGCGTGCAGAAATAAAGAATAAGAAAGGGAAAAAGAAAAGGAATCAGGATTTCACTTAGGGTCTCATTAGACACTCCTAAAAATGCCTGTTTTTAGGATTGCATCCTCGTTGCACACAGTCCTAAAACGAAATCGGAGATCGGAAATGTGAAAAACGGCGTTAGAACGAGTCCTAAAAGATTTAGGATTCCCCAGGCAAAATCGTCCTAAATTTTCCAGTAGCCCCCGACCTACTGAAAAATTAAGGATTCCCGTGTTTCACAGAGTCGTTGCGTCGCGCGCATGGCACCGTGGAGACTCGTTGGTGGTCCAGAAGCAGTCCGTCGAGTCGGTGGTCGGACATTGGAGGTTTTCTGCGGCTTGACGCGGGCAACGGCCACACACAGTAGCCGTTGGCAGAGGGGGTGGAGCGCGGAGGGCCGAGCGTCGGCAGGTGGTTGCCCGTACAGGACCGTTGGGTCGCTTGCGAGATGCGGAGTGGGACGTCGACGTGCGCAGGACGACAGACGGAGCCGCTTCAGGCAGCGCGCACCGCAACGGTCGAATTTCAAAAGGAAGGCGGGCGTGTTCCTCGTCTCCTGTGGTGGTTGTCCGCATATGAAGGTCGAGCGCCCCTGTCGCGGGGATGTCGGAACACAAATCTGCAGTGGTCACGTGCGAGGGCGGCTGCAGTGAATTTCATGGCCGACGTGCCAAGGAGATTGCCTCTGCTGGTACTCGTTGTCGTCGTCTTCCTGATTGTCGTTTTCCTCTACGTGTGTTTTTCGTGGCGGCCGTGGAAACAACAATGAAAGTGGAGGGCTTCGACGAGATGGGCGGCAGGCGTCCATGTGGATTATGCGCATGGCGGGAGATGATCCGCGCAGTCACTACGAAGCGTTTTACTTCGCGGATCTCGTCGCCAGGCCGACACTAATCGCCTCCATGCATCAGTCCTTCGATCATCGACGATCCGTCGTCCGCGCCGCGAACGTCGTAACGAGAGGCTTGGGAAGGCGAAAGTCACGCTCGGAGTGTACCCCGACTACATCCCTGATTGAGCACCATCCGGCATCGGATTTGCGCATGACGTGACCATCAAGGGGCTGGAGGATGCAAAGAGGCTGGATTGGTTGGGTTCGGGCCCCGCCGATGATGACATCAAAGGCGAAGGAAAAGACGACGCATAAGGCAGGCTGGTATGCGGGGGGAGAGCGGGGAGACAGCGCTTCTAAGAACGAAGGCGCATGTACGCGTGGCAAGACGTGACGGGCTGTCGTGTGATTGGAGTGTCGTGCGTGGCGCAGCTGATTAGCGTGTGGGCCGCCGGGACTCGCCAGAATCCTCCGTCATTATTGTGCACAGGTTTGCTGTGGCGCCCGTGGCATAAGCACGGGTTGATTCAGTTCGATTGTGTCATTGTAGTTTCGGTGGTTAGCATTTTCGCCGGAGGGATTTGGCTGAATCTTCGACAGTGGCGTAGGTGTTTAGTGTGCGGCCAGTAGCGCCAGCACGCGAATGAATGGTTTGCACCTTTGTTTTTCGGGTTTTTTTTTTTTTTTTTTATCTTTTTATTTCTGTGTTCAGCGCACGTGGTTGTTTTATCAATGCATGGTGCTCCTCGTTGTATCGGACGATTTGAAGCGCGTGGCGGTTGATTGTTGTTTGCCTTTTTGCGATGCGTGTGACAACTCTCACGACTCTGTCATATGTCGGTGTCATGAATGTGGTAATGTCTTTTGTGGGACACAAATGTCCTTGTCTGCGTTTCACTTGTTCTTGTTCTTCGTATTGGCTTCACGACATGCAATAGACATGCGATGATCACGGATAGAGAGAATGCATGACGGGATCGTATAGAAGCTTGTTGTACATGTCATCCCACCACAGCAGCACACGAAACCGGTCATGCAAACTGAAATGAAGATATGCACCAAGAAACGATAAAGATAATCAACATTTCCAAAAAAAAAAAAAAAAAAAAAAAAAAAAAAAAAAAAAAAAAAAAAAAAAAAAAAAAAAAAAAAAAAAAAAAAAAAACAGCAACAACCATGT